ATTTGAAAAAAACCCCCAGATTATATACAAAAGGGATGCACAAGATATTTTTCCTTTTGCATTTTAGTTTTCTATTTATAGTCAAGCAGTGAGTTGTGTATTTACCCGGTTGGGTGCGCAGGCTAGGTGAAAGTTGAGCAGTACGGTAATTAGTGAAGGGCATGGGTGGACAGCTCCTATCAGAGCAGGCTGCTGGAGCGCACCATGGTACTATGGTGTGAGAGTCCAGTGTTCCTAGTCCCATCCGTGGCACCACTGCTTTTGAGGTTCGGGCGCTTGCTCCCTCCTGTGGCCACCTGTCACAGCAGCCTGGCTCCCACCACGGCCGGATCCAGCTGCCGGGGAATCCAGCAGGGGAAAAACCCTTTTGTCAAAACCTGATGACTCCAAGCTCTGCCAAATGCTTCAAAAATTTGGTCAGTCTCAATACATCTCTCAGCTCCAGTTTTTTGAGAAGTATAGTGCTGATATTTCCTTTTTCAATGTTAAAAAAAAAAAAAAAAAAGGCTAGGTTTTCTCCAAGTTCAGATTATTTTTATTTTTTAAGTTTCAGTGAAATGTGAACTTTGAAATGTTAAAAACGGAAGAAAAACTGAAGAGAGCGAACCAAAAATCTGGATGTATTTTTGAGGTACCAAAGCAAAACACTTTTTTTTTTTTACTCCTCAAAAAAAATTTTCTTTTTGCCCTGAGGAAATTGATGAAATTTTTAATAGTATTTTTCCATGACATGGGAAAAAACGTTTCCTGACTCTATTAGCTTAGTCAGTGCTGACTTGCATAATAGCATCTTAACAACTGTAAAATAACCATCCTCTTTTTAGCTATAGATTTTGCATTTGTAAAGCTTATTCCTGAGCTATAAATAAGTGGATGAAAATAAACAGTGAGCTTTAGGAAGCACTGAAGAGCCATATTTTTGGCCAATTCAAATCAGTGTACCTCTGCAGTTTTTATGCCAACTGAGCACATGGTCAAACTTCTGCCTAGTCATATTGACTTCATTTTTTAAGACTTGATCTACATAATCAGTTTTCAGAATTTAAAATGGACGTAATTTTGGTGTATAGTCTTTAGTTTTCTAAAAGCAAGAAACTGCAAGATACCATCTTTAAAAAAGGCCTGTTTTCAGTGCTTTGGTGGAGGATCCAGTCAAAGTGAAAATACATTATTACATTATATTGATGTAGAAATAATAGTTATTTGCTGACATAAATACGGAGTGATTGGTAATACTGATAAATACTTACTGAAAGGCCTGGTACCTCTAACCTCTTTTAAATTTTGTTATTGTTTGAAGCTGTTTAGAAAGAACATTCCTACTGCAAAAATTCTTGCTGTTTGTACAGAAATAAAGTTCCAGGGGTCATTTCATGGTTTTGTATATACAGCATGCAGGTATTTCCCTTTGACCTTTTACTTCAGAGTGAAGTCAAATCTCACTCATAAACCTTCAGCTACATACGGTGGTCTTCAAAATAAAAAAAGTTGATTATGTGATCACAGAATCATAGAATCATAGAATGGTTTAGGTTGGAAAGGACCTTAAAGATCATCAAGTTCCAACCTCCCTGCC